ATGTTCCTGCTACCAGTGTCCTTTAAGAGTTCCCTTATTAGGGTTTTTGTTGTTGTTTGAGACTAGCTAACAAATGAAAACTACACATGTTCAAATATAAGACATGAGAAAAACATCTATTTTTACTGGAATGACAGCAAAGGCCATCGGCAGTAAAAATGAATTGCTAAGTTCTTTGCAAGTCCCCAATATGGGTTTAATATACAACATGTGCATTTCTTGAAACTATTAATTTGCCAGTAAGCATTATTCTCCTAAAAAAAAAATCCACCATCAAAAAGAAAAGTGACATTATTGATTTTCAGAATTCTTATTCCTACTCTGTCAATAAGCAATGCTGGAAAGAAAAATCAAACCCCAAAGAGAATTGGTATGATGGTGAAGGTCAAATTTACAAGTGAAGGGGGTCAGGAGTGTTTGACCCAGTGTGCTGAGCAGTGCATCCCAACAAGCAATGACAAGAGAGAGGCAATATGCAGGAAGCCTCTGGGGAAAGTTAAAACTTTTAAATACAGTAGTCATCTTGGAGGATTAGAGGTATATGAGTTTAAGAGCTAGAGTGCACAAGTCTGGGTAAAACCCTAATCTAACAGACAAAGTCTTACCAGGCTGGGCACGGGAGACTGAATCTTGAAATAGATTTTTTTTTTTTTTTTTTTTTTTTTTTTTAAGAAAGCAACAGAAACTCAAATAGGACTCTCTGGTCCTTTGTCCTCTTAATTTTAAAGCAACAGCCAGTGTTATCTACCTTTCTGCAGATGCATTTGGTGTGCCCTGGAGGGCCAGACATCATTCTGTGTTTGCAACAAAAGTTGGCATTGAGCAACTGGTGGGAAGTACCTGAATAAGAAGCAGAAGTTGCTAATATTTTAAATTGGGACAAAGAGTCAGGTTTGGAGGATTTTGATAGGAAAAAAAAAATGTGTCCATCAGTCCTCATTTTAATGGCTGGGCTTTTTAAAAAAAAAAAAAAAAAAAAAAAAAAAAACAAGGATTGAATCCAGGGGCAGTTAACCACTGAGCTAAATCCCCAGTCCCTTTTCATATTTTATTTAGAGACAGGACCTTGCTAAGTTGCTGAGAGGCTGGGGTTAGAGGCATGTGCCATTGCACTCTGCTTAATGGCTGGGATTTTTACACACTTTGTGATGGTATGGTTGGTGGTGGGGTGGGGGACATGTCCATGTGACATCATAGGAGCACTCGCCAAAAGCTGCCACATCTGAGTACTTCCTCATTTGTAAATGGAAACAAGAAGCCTTAATGAGTAATTAAGTGATAAGTCATTTCCCAGTTACCTAGAAGTACAAGGTGATCCCAAAATTTGCTCTATTGAGTCACAGAAATCTTTTCACTTTCACAAGAACTCTTCAAAGTATGTTATTCCTATTATAAAGAGGAGGAAACGGAGGCTTAGATCATAAAGGGGAAAAAAAATTGTCCAGAATCGCATACCAGTAAGTTAACAGAGTTGGGAGGAAAATTTGAATCTGAGCCCGAAACCTTTTGGAAGAGCCGAATGTACAGTTTTTCCACTTTAACCTAAAACAGTTCCCCACTTCTTCCAGTGGCTGGTGTTCCAGATGACAGCTCCAGGCCCTGTTTGAATAATTTTAAGTCAATCCTTAGTTAGGGAAGCAAGACTTAATTATCACTGGAGGACAGAAGGCTGCATCTTCAAGGAATTTGGCAGATCTCGGCAGGAGGCAACCACAGGTCTTTGGCAAAAGATCACTTTTCAACAACATTGTCAATTCCAGCAACCCTCGACCTTCCACCTGCAGGTCCCCGAGCAGCTGCTGTTCTGGGGGGTTGGGGAGAGAAGCAGAGGCAGTCTGTCTTCCTTTAAAAGGCAAATGCCTCTCTCTCCCCACCGCCCACTGCGCTGCCCCACAGGGATCCCTCCCTCCATATCATCCCAGAACTGGAGGTCATCTCCCATAACTAGAAATTAAGAACAATAAAGGAGTGTGTGGGGGGGGGCAGCTTTGACAGCAGACCCTGAACTCTCCCTTTTAATATAAGCCAGATTTAACATATGTCATTCTGTAAATCCCAGAGTCCAATTTGAGGCTTGTAATTTGCTGCAACCGTCCCTCTTCCTCCAAGGGAGTTGGGACGAGGCCCAGCACATCAAGGTAACTGGTGGAGGATAGAATCTGCACCCAGTGAGCCTGTGTGTCAGTTTCCTATTGTAATTTCTGTTTGCATTGAGGTTTTGTGGTTTGAAGAAAGTCAACTAGATTTATTTTTAAATTAAGCCAACCCCAACATCAAAGGCAAGAAGAGGGGGATGTTTATGATAAAGAAACCCTGGATAATCTTTTATAGCTGAGTTCTCTTTCAGGGCACGGATCAGTAAATAGTTAGGAGACCTTTCACGACCAAGTTGCTTTATTTCTCTAACCTCAAACAACCCCCAGGGATGAAAAGCCCTTTGCGAGGTGATCTGGAAGTCCCTCTCTCCTGCTCCTCAGATCTCTTGGTCTCACCCTGTGGGTAGCAGGACAGGCTGCATCAGGGATGAGGAGTACAGCCTCAGTCCTCACCTTCTTCCCTTCCCACCATGCCTTAGTTCTGGATAAGAGGAGCCTCTGCAGGCCCCAAAATAGGAACCTAGGGTAGGCAGAAGAAAGTTTATATTAAAAGTTTCTCTTTAAAAGAATGACAGATGCTACCTGAAGAGTTTTATTTATTTATTTATTTATTTTTATTTATTTTTACTGTGGACCTGAAGCATTTTACTACGATAGGATTTTTTCACCCCAAAGACTTACATGAAGTATATTTGTTTATTGATTCATGAAGGAAACTTGTGGACCTCATCTAGGCCTGCTCAAATAATATATATGTGGGGCTGGGGATGTGGCTCAAATGGTAGTGTGCTCGCCTGGCATGCATGAGGCATTGGGTTTGATCCTCAGCACCACATAAAAATAAAATAAAGATATTATGTTCATAATAATAATAATGTGTATGTGTAGTTGTTTCACCAAACAGCCTTTTTTATTTTATTTTATTTTATTTTTTTGGTGGTATTGGAGATTGAACCCATTGAGCTTCACCCCCAGCCCTTTATAATTGTTGTTGTCATTATTATTATTATTTTGAATTTTGAGACAGGATCTTGCCAAGTTGTCCAGGCTGGCCTTGAACTTGAGATCAAAACAGCTTTTTAAGAAAGGGGTAATGAAGCCCTTTTACAATGAGCTTGTCTAGCCACACGCTCTTGCCCACTCTGGAACATGTTCCTTTAGATGGAAGTTGGCTTACACTTCTAAGCATAACTTATACACTTTAAGGGACAATGTTTATGCTGTTGCCCTTCTGCTCAGGTAACCAGTGTCCATATTGATCATCAGAGTAACTATGGAACAGGAAGTCTAATAATTCCTATGAGCATTTTCTCCTATAGAAAGGGAGGTTTTGCAAATCCCCTAGCAGAAGAAAATGTGCATTTCTAAGGCTTGGTGTGCACAGGATTGTGCCAGTGTACAACCATGTGTCTCAGAAGCTCCATGTTATTTTCCCAGAGGAAATTCACAGCACCACAGAATTAGGAGAGTGTTCCGCCAGTCTCCTGAAGTCACTAGGCACACAGTGACTGATTGTTTCTCTAGTTTTATAATATGAATAGTGGCCCAGGGTCCCCTTTAGTAATTCTTATCAACAATCTTTCACTGATAGACATTTCTCCAGAACAGAGAGGGCTAATCAGATTTTTCCATCAACATAGACTGCTGCTTACCCATTGAGACTAGCTATTTGTAAAGTCCTGGTTTGGAATCAACGCTCACTTGACTTTTTTTTTTTTTTTTTTTGTTAAAGCAAGTGAGCTTTGGAATCCAGTTCTGATTTGACCCTGATGAACTGTTAATCTGGAGAAGTCATTTAACTTTGCTAAGTCTTGGTTTCCTCATCTGTTCAATGAATATAATAAACCTATTTCCCAGTACATCTGGATAATTGAATGAGTTAATGGCATATAAAATGCTTTGCACAATATCAAACATGTGGTCAATACTCACAACCCCTATGTACCCAATAATGTTTAAAGAGAAGGTTCCAGTGGGTTATGGTCTAGCAAAGAATTCAAGTATAAATAAATAATTCCGAGTTTAAGAATTGCTGTAGTGTGAGTCTGCAGTTTAGGAACACAAGGTGGTAGTATCTAATGGTTAAGGGACTTGGACTTCAACAGGAAGGTGAGATATTTTTGGGGTCCCCAGTAAAATACATTTCACAACACTTGGATCTCTGTGTTAGACTAAATATAGATTTGAACTAACCTATCCTAGACCAGTAGGACCTATTTACCTGTGGTTAATAAAAATCATGCCCTGTACCCATTCTGATTTGTCTATGAAATGAATAGCTTTCATGGTAAACACGTATGTTGAAGCCATCGTCTTGGCTATAATTCCAGTAAGTGTAATTAATGGTGTTAATACACAAGATCAGGAATGAGAAAAACTCATAGAGATATATAAGTAATCAATAAAATGCTCTTAAGAAATTCAAGAGAAAAATGCACTGAGGCTGTGATTCATCTTCATTTCACATAACATTTGCGACTATATTTAATAGCCTAATTAGCAATAAAATTTTTATGAGTTAACATCACCCTGAGAACATTCCCTTCTGTATTACTGAGTTTTATCTGTAGCTTTGTAACATAACCATAATCCTGTTGATGGGTTTCTTACACATTTTATTTGATGAACCCAAAAACTTGCACTAAGAACCTGTTCAGCCACCAATCTTGGTTTCATCTGTTTTAATTTATATACCCTCATACCCTCAGAGGGTAGATTCTTGAGGGGGGGGAGGGTTGTGAGGACTTCAGAATTTCTTATAAACACAAAGAGGCAAACACTCCAGCTATGTCTAGATTGTCTTTCCTAAGTATGATTATTTCACAACCTTTAACTGAAGATATCTCCATAAATAAATCTCCAGTAAAAAATGTATGATAAGTTTTTCTCTCTGGATGTTTTCAGAACCCCTAGTTATAACTATGCACCAAATATGGATAAACACTGGATTATGCAGTACACGGGACCAATGCTGCCCATCCACATGGAATTTACAAATGTTCTACAGCGCAAAAGACTTCAGACTTTGATGTCAGTAGATGATTCTGTGGAAAGGGTAAGCACAGGGACGAGTTTCTGTTTAACTTCCTTTGGGTACATCCATTCTTGCCAATCCCGTTCATTCCTTTCTGATTCTGGCCTCATATTAAAAGAGAGAGTGTTGGATGACTTATCCATGTCTCCTTTATCTTGTCCCTGTTCTGTTTTTCTAGTTTGATTCTTAAGGACCCAGTGACCAAGGAGAGAAAAATCAAAGCATCATAAATCAGGCCACACCCTCAGAAATTAAGCCAATAACAAATGACTGTCACAGTTCCAGAACTAGGCAATAGGGATTGGTGAGAAGTGTGGTGAGGTTAGGATTAAGTGCCCTATAGAAAGCAAGCAGCAATGCATAGCCCCAACTAATTTTTGCCATTTAGAAATGAACACCAACTATGAAGTTCTCTGACTTTTAAAAAGAAGCCAGAAATACAAAAATTTTCATTTGAAATTTCCTGAATTTTAAAATCAAATAAGACACACCTAAGGCTGAATCTACCTAGATCAGGCTGACAGGTAGTCTATTTTTAACCCTTGGTTATTAGATTTAAAAAAGTAATTAAATTAAGATTTACCTTAGCAGGGGATTTTCAAAGTAAAATTTATAAAGTTTGGCAGTAGAGATTGTTTTGTGCCTTGTTATGTTTATGTTTTATCATCATTACTGCTGTTTTACTAAACAGATGAACAAAACCTGTTAGTAGAACATCCTGCCTTCAGAAAAGTGACACTTGAACTGTATCGTTGGGTGCTTCCCTTCCAGGATTGTAAGCAGTTAGAAAACGTGGTTCATGTTCACGTCTGTCAGTCTTATTGTAGAATTCTTGTTTTTTAAAAAATAATGGAAAGCTGGGTACAGTGGCGCTTGCCTGTAATCCCAGAGACTCAGGAGACTGAGGAAGGAGGATCACAAGTTCAAATTGAGCCTCAGCAACTTAGGGAGGCCCTAAGCAACTTAGTGAGGCCCTGTCTCTAAATAAAATACAAAATAGGTCTGGGGATGTGGCACAGTGGTTGAGTGCCCTTGAGTTCAATCCCTGGTACCAAAGGAAAAAAAAAACATAAAAAAGATTCAGAGTAAATTGTGGCAACACCATATCATGTCATCTTGTGACTCGACGATGGGTTCTGACACATCCTGTGCTGTGTTGCAGCTGTATGACATGCTCGTGGAGACAGGGGAGCTGGATAACACTTATGTCATTTACACCGCTGACCATGGCTACCATATTGGGCAGTTTGGACTAGTCAAGGGGAAATCCATGCCATATGACTTCGATATCCGCGTGCCTTTCTTTATTCGTGGTCCAAGCATAGAACCGGGATCAACGTATGTATTTCTCTGTCTGCAACGTGCAGCTGCCTCAGCTCATGCACATCTGAGATAATCCAATTACTAATCTCAGTGTCTGGTTTCCTTTCATTCAAAACACAAAAAGGTTATATGTAGGTGGGTAATTTAGAAGATGAAAACCTTTCCCCACTGCTGTTAAATTAACTAACATGTACTGTTTAAACAGAAAGGAAAAATAACTATCGATGATTAATTCTCTCAAATTGATCAGAATCCATATCTTTTTGGCCTGTGTACATGGACACAATGTGATTTGGGGGAACAGATGTCATCTTTACCTTCTCTGAGTCAGAGAGAGATACACTGCTTTTTTTTTTTTTAAACAACCAATACCATTCTCTCAGTTTTTAATTTTTTATTTTTTTAATTAGAAGAGGGCTGAGGATGTGGTTCAGTGGTGGCATGCTACCTAGCGTGTACAGGGCACTGAGTTCAATCCTCAGTACCAAAAAACAAAATCTGTGCCAGGTGTAGTGGCACACACCTATAATCCCTGCAGCTGGGGAGGTTGAGGCAGAAGGATCACAAGTTCAAAGCCAGCCTCAGCAACTTAACGAGGACCTAAGCAACTCAGTGAGACTCTGTATCTAAATAAAATATAAAAATGGGCTGGGGATGTGGCTCACTGGTTAAGTACCCCTGGATTCATTCCCTAGTACCAAGAATCATCATCATATCATCATCATCTAAAATTTTTTTAAATTACTGAATTTTTTAAAAATTAAATGTTGTAAAGCAAGATTTACTTTTTAAAGGAAAGATTTAAGTGGCTAGTGTTCTATTTCTGTCATCTTGTCACCACTGGCTGGTCACTGCATCCCTTTCCATCTCTATTTTACCATGATAAAATGGGTTCCACATGTCTTATACCACGTTTTGTATAACATGAGATCTTGTACATAAAAGAATTACATGAAGGTTAAAAGAAAAGCATGGAAATATATTTCAAAATGCCTGTCATCTAGCCTGGACCCTGATATACCATTGGATAAGCTAGACAGGCATGTATAACCTGTCCCTGGTTCTGCTGGTGGTGGCGACAGGATACATAACCCAGATTTTCTAAATCTCACCCATGTGTCTCATGTGTGTGTCACAGTGCACACTGAGGAGAGGGTGATGGGAGTAAGAAGGATTTCTCTGAAGAATGTTATTATGTCTCTTATGATCATTAGCAACACCCTGGGAACTGTCACATCTATAGTTAGAAAGATTTATGTTGGAAAGCCTTGGTAGCCTGGGTTAGATTCAACTCCGAAGTCGTGTGTTCTTTCTGAGAATATGGATTTTTAAAGCCCTGGTTCAACAGAGGAGTTATGAACCTGTCCGGTTTTAGAAGAAAGTATACAACCCACAAAAAGATAAAATCGGGCCACATCTAGTCTGGCAGTGTGGCTGGAGCCAAGGCTGTCTCTCCAGCCCAGCCTCCTCCCCACCAAGAGTCCATTAATCTTGTTGTGTGCCATTGCTGCTTACTCACCCTGGAGAAATCCCACCACCTATCCCTGGGAATCCAAAGGTGAGGGGTGAGAAGAGTTGAAGACCAGTGAGTCACTGCTGTGGAAAGAGCAGCCTTAGATGCCACCCTCCACTGGCACTGGGTTTGGGGCTGAGCCTAAACATCTGTGTCTTTGCAGAGTCCCACAGATTGTTCTCAACATCGACCTGGCCCCTACCATCCTGGATATTGCTGGGCTCGACACGCCTCCTGATGTGGATGGCAAATCTGTCCTCAAACTTCTAGACCCAGAAAAGCCAGGAAACAGGTGCGTCAGAATTCCTTCTCTCAGCCATCCCCAAGCACCCAGGGCTCTGGCTGGCTCTCAGAGGCAGGCAACAGCTGAGAAAAGCCAAGATAAAATACACTTTACCCGTGCAGATGGCCCCGAGCTGGGCCTTTCTCTGCCGTATGTGAATAGCACATGGATGGAGATGCAGTCTTGGTCTGCAGGAAGTGAGGGGTGTTTCTTTAAATAAACTGTTAGCACAGATCCATTTGGAAAAACATCCAGATGCCAGCAGTAAATATTATTATTTTGCTTTCAGGTTTCGAACAAACAAGAAGGCCAAAATTTGGCGAGATACATTCCTAGTGGAAAGAGGGTAATTATTGGTTCCTGGGGTGCTTCTGGGAACCAGTCCTAGTGGGCAGCTCTCCCTGATGGATATTTTCTTTCTTCCTTTTATTTTTTTTTTTCTCCCTCCTATTTTGGTTTACTAAGCATGTGGATTTTGCAAGCCTAGTTGCAAGATTGAATGGTTTAGCTGCTTATTCTCTCCTGGCCAGGGGAGTAATTATTCCTGCATCACAATTGTAAAGAATAAATTATCGCAAGATGGGGCCAAAGCCTTTGCATCAGTCCTGATTTACTGTTGCATTTCTCAACCTTGGTTTCTAACCAGACCAATCAACTTTCTCAACCAGCCTTCCCAAGTCCTTCTCTAATAGCCTCCAAGGCATGCCTGGTCCCCTACCTTCTCCTTCTTTTCCTTATGTTCCTGCCATTCCTTTAAACATATAAATTTAAGCCATCATAATTATTTCCATAGTCACTTTGGGTTCCCCTTTTGATTGGTTATGCTTATTGCCTTGTTTTTCTTTGTACATAAATTGGGAGCAAGAAAAGCATTTATGTCATTATTTATTAGCAAGAAGAACTTGATAATGCCCAGTGTGTGGAAATTAAGGCAAGGGCTCAGAAAATGTTGAAATCCTATAGACAGTGCTTTAACATTTACATCTTGCTATTTGAAGCATGTAGAGTCATGCAACAGGGGGAAAAAATAAAAGAATGGGCAGGACTCAGGAAGGTAATGCTGATCACTTCTCACTTTTCCCTTTCTGTCAAAGCAAATTTCTACGAAAGAAGGAAGAATCTGGCAAAAATATCCAACAATCAAATCACTTGCCTAAATATGAGCGAGTCAAGGAACTGTGCCAGCAGGCCAGGTACCAGACAGCCTGTGAGCAGCCTGGGCAGGTGAGTGACACCACTCTTCTTCACCATCATTTATGCACCTCTCCATTACTAACTCAAAAGATTTTCAACTTACAAATAATGTACATTTGTGTAAATGTAAGTTTCCTTATGATCATGAGGGCAAGTTCATTGTGACACCTCTCCACTGACAGGCATGTGTAACTGGTTCACACTGGCCCTCCTCATGACTGCTTGAGCTCCCTCCAGTTAAAAAATATGGTGCCCTCAGAGAGAGAGAGTTCTATGCCTAAAGACAATGCTTCCATCAAGACCTGTTAACAGGTCATCAAACAGTGATCACAAGGTCACTCAGTCAAGACATGGGTTGATGCTGAGCCTCTGACAGTGAAGCACCCTAAGAGACATGATGGGGTGTTCCCTCCCTGAATTAATGTCAGATGTCATGAACACAGAGCAGAGGATAGAATCTATGACCAAGGTCAAGAAAGGAAAAACAAAACCACATTCTGTATGTGCATTGTTTCCACCTTTACTCACAAACTTTTTGACATCAAATATTTCATTGTGATGAATCTTCATTAACAGAAATATTAGTGTAGTACCTATTATAAGAAAAAAAGAAATATTACACAATGAATTAATACCACTTCTAAAGAAAGTGAAGATACACAAACCTTAGCAATTTTAAAAACTCTTGATTGAAATCTGTACTAACTAAAAGGAAAACTATACAAGCTAAAAGAAAATACCGTGTCATGTTGACAGATTGAATTTCTGCTAAAATCAGAGCAACTTAGAATAAAATCAGAGGAAAGGAAAAAGAACTTTTTTTTATTTTTTATTTTATTTTTTAAATTTTTGTTTATCTTATGAAAAGCACAATACACCAGATTTTATATCTGTATTCACTCAATTTAATCCTGATCTCTTTGAGTGAGGTTAGGTCATTTCATCCCCATCTCACAAATGGGCAGATGGTAAGTGGCAAAGCTGAGATCCAAAGAGGAGTTACTGATTCAAAAACTCAAGCCACTTGTTGCCCTCCAAGGTAAACTATGTTAAATATATAAAGAGAAGTTCAAATCCTAGATGTTTAAAATTTCTCTGACCTCTAGGTATTCACAAAATTCGCCGATGCCAGTTCAAGATAGCAGATTCATGAAATGGGCAGCCCGGTTATTATCAAAATGCCCTCATTCATTATGGTATTATTATATGGTAGCCAGCATATTAGGTAGATGATCAAAATAAACAACTTGATCCTACCTCTGTATTTCCTCATGCTTTTTTTGTACACAGGATCCCTTTGAAATAGAAGAGGGTGGGGAGGGAGATCTGTCGAAGGAAGGAATAAAATCAGGCCTTCATGTTCTTCTAGGAAGTCTTTATTTCAAGTGTTTAGTGGAGGAGCTTAGACCTATTCATTATATTTTAATTTGAAGTCTTCAAATCTTTCTCATGGCAGCTCTAAGTATTATTATGAATAAAGCCTCAGAATTGTTTTGTAGCTCTATGATTCTTATCAGCCAGCCTCAATAGACTAATTTACTTTTATTCAGGAGTTGGAAATGTTCAGTGTTAAATATATCTCATGCAAATTGCTGATCTTATTCCTCTTTGAGTCCTCTAAACGGGAGTACGATAGCCATTTGGGAATAAGGTACACTGCCTCCCTACCTTTCAGGATACAATCTTGCCAATCTCTCCATATGGCTTGTACTGAAATTCTAATATATGTCCTAAAGGGCAAACGTAGTGTTAACTGGATGATGGTACTTGAGCATAAGCTCAGCACTCATGTGCTAAATGCTAACTGTATTAAAATTTTAATTTTACTTTTTCATATTTGTCTCAACTTGTTTTGCTCCCGTGAAATTCTTTGATATCTGGCTCCCTGGAAATTTCCTATGCTGTTTTATTTCTGTGTGAATTAGTCTGAACTTAGATTCCATCACATGGATAGGAGGAATGTTTACAAGCATCTCTTTTCTTTAAAAGTGCCTGAATTAGTGGAATGAAGAATTAAGCTTTGCCCTGTAGGTAATTTCTTTCTACAGGATTTTTCAATTTGGGCAGAAATAAAGACCTGGCAAGATTATTAGGTTGCCTCAATCTTCAGTGAATAGTTGTTCTAATCTTGTAGTTGCTAGTGTCTGTCCCCAGGCTGGTGAGATCAGCACCCCCTGGGAGCATCTCAGAAATGCAGGTTCCCTGGCACCCCAGACCACTGAGTCTGAGTCCCCAGTGGTGCTTTAAGAAGTATTCGGGTGACTCTGAAGCACATTTCTGGCCTCCTGGTGCTGCCTAAATCCCAGCTCAGGAATCTGAGAACTGGACTGGGGTTGTGGCTCAGTGATAGAATGCTTGTCTAGCACATGTGAAGCACTGGGTTCGATCCTCAGCACCACACAAAAATAAATAAATAAAAGTATTGTATCTGTCTACAGATAGAAATAAAACAATTAAAAAAAAGAATCTGAGAACCTTGAAAATCTTGAGCCTCTTCAAAGCAGTTACCAAATCTGTGGATCAAACTGCATAATTCATTGAGTTCTATAGAATTTTATCTCCTGGCCCTCTGCTCTGACTACTTTCCAAAATGATCTTTTTGGTGACCATGGCACTGACTTAAAATGAAACAACAAAACAGAGTCCAGAACAATGAGATTCTGTTGTCCAGGATCAAGGTGACAACTAAGGCTACACCACTTTGCTTGGAATCCACTGTCTTCAAGTTGGGGTCACACCTGGCCTGTGCCCTGCTTTCTTCCTCTTACCCAGGTAATTGCCTACAGGCTAAGGAAGCACAGTTTTAGGGTTGACCCTCCATGGGGTGTAACAGAAAAATCAGCACCATTAGCCCCCTTTATTCCTAATCCCCAGGGATTAGGGAGCGTATGGCTCCCTCTACACCCCTGTACCTGGTCACCTAACCAGAGCCAAGAGGGTGTGTATGTGGTATAAAGCACAGTAAATAAATAAAGGAAGAAAGAATAGGAGGTCAAAGGGTTTGGGTTGGAAAACAGTTACCTCCACTTTCTAACAGTGTCTTCTTGAACAAGTCTTTCAATTTCTCCTGAGTTGCAGGTCTTCTATCTCTAAAATAGAGAAAATTAGCCTCACTCTTATGAGGATTAAGTAATACTATACACGTAAAGGGCTAGGTGAGACTGAGATCTATTTTCTCCACTGTGTGAAGGCTGGTTATTGCTATTGTTCCAGGCCGACTTACCTGTTGTTTTCATTTCTATGAAACCAGCAGGGAATTAAAATGGGCTGGAATCCCAAGCGCTTGGCATCAGTCCTTGACAATGTGCACAGAGCAACCAGCAGGGACTAATTAAGACAACATGGACATATGTGTTTACACTACTTCCATGTTTCTGAATTAATCCAAGACAAAGTGTGAATTCCCACCATTCTCTCAGCTAGGCATTACACCACCCCCCCCCAAGCACATTTCTGTACACACACACGTGTACATGTTCATGTGCAATTCTCAACTTTTGTCTTGAAAGACTTCTGTTTACCAGAGAATGGATCCATGATGCTTAATTCTGGCTACACATGGGAATCACCTGAGTGAGCTTTTGAAAACCAGTAATGCACCACCTCACCCCAAACCAATCAGATTTTAAATGCAAGACCAAGGCATCCATATTTTTTTAAAATGATGTTAAAAACCCCAGGCCTAAAATCAGAGAATGTCAAAGTTAGAAGGAGTCTTAGCAATCTTCCAGTTGAATGGTATCATTTTCCTGATAAGGAAGTTTTGGTCCAGAAAACTTAAGCTAACCTGCATCTTTTCACCTCAAATTGAGTAGTTTCTAACCTGTGACATACAATCTCTTTGACAGGTTAAGATGGTATATTTTTCCCTTCAAAACTGCAAATGGCATTTGTATTAATGGTAACAGCTACTCACAGCACCTAGGGTGTGGTTCTCAGCTCTGACTGCACAGCAGAATCTTTAGAAATGATGCGATGGTTCACTCCTGTAATCCCAGCACTTGGGAGGCTGAAGCAAGAGAGTCAATCACTAGTTCAAAGCCCACCTCAGCGATTTAGCAAAGCTGTAATTAATTTAGTGAGTCCCTGTCTCAAAATAAAATATTAAAAAGGGGTAGGGATGTGGCTCAGTGGTTAAATGCCCCTGGGTTCACTCTCTGGTGCCAAGAAAAAAAAAATGCTGATGTTCAAGTCCACCTCAGGTAGATTATGTCAGAACCTTTCGAGTAGGGATGCGGTATCAGCTCAATTTCAAGTCCTTGGAGATTATTTCTCTGAACAGCCCAGGTTAAGAACCATAAATGCCAAATGAGTATTATTGGGTGGTATTTTTTTTTCTTTTTTTCTTCCTCTAGGTATAGACATCATCTCCTTAAATTAGAGTTGCATAAAAGAGAAATTCCCTGGGCATCCAATTGGGAAGTACATTTTTTTTTTAATGTATTCTCTGCCATTTCATGGGAAAAAGAGAACCTTGATTTGTTTTTCATAGAGCAAATGTCCTTTGTTGAGTTGTTAAATTCCAGCATCTTGACAGTTTAGTATGCCTTTCTACTATTGTGTCGATGACAAATCAGAGATGATATCCAGGCAAGCTGATAGAATTGTAAAGGAAATTAGAATGTTGTTTGTTGAGTAGAAACCAGTTTAGCTCCAGGATCTATGTTCCTCTGAATGAATGAAAAAAAAATATATAAATATATATTACACACACACACACACACACACACACACACACACACATACATTCACACACATTCCATATCCCTCTGGCCCTTTATGACACCCTGCAGAGCATGAATTAAAAAGATATTTACTAGTAAGATCTGGCTAGAATTGTTAATTTGCCAGAAATTGACAGCCTGTTTCCAGAAACTCCCAGAACCCTGGTTAAAAGCACAGCATGGCTCCAGGCATCCCCTGCACCCCTGGATTCTGGGGGCACACCCCGAAGGACTGAGCTCCTGCTGCCATCCTCCGACTGAATTCCCACCTGTACTCAGGCTGGGCAGACCACTCAGCCTTCTAGC